AAATTAATTACAAATAGTTAGAGTAAGGAGATGGTCTAGCTAACCAATGTTTACAAATTAGTATTTTTGTTGTCTCTTTTATTGAATATTAGGACACATGCATTTATATATATTCAATCAATTTCAGTTTTTATTCATTATCATGCATGTTTCCTCTTTAGCCAGTAGGGTTCTTCAGGATAATCTTTTTTCCTTTTCATACCATTAGGCTTTGTTAGTTTCCTTACTTTCTGGCACCATTATGTCTTAAATTCATTTGTTCTTTGCTCCCACTTTGGAATTACTATCTCTCCAAGGTTCCCTGGTCTATTTTGGTGAAAAGTGTATGTACATTGAAAATAGAGCCAATAGGCTTTCCTCACATGTTTTGGATGTGTTTTATGAAAGAAAAAGTCAAGTCTGTTTCCAAGATTTTTGGTCTGAGCAACTGAAACAGGGGAGTTTCCATCAACTGAGAGGTGGAAGGATGCAGTTGAAAGGAGGGAAGTGTTGGAATTCAGCTTTGGACATATTGATTTTGAAATTTTAAATACACTTTTAAATAAAGACATCTATTAGGCAATTGGATATATAAGTCTAAAGTTTGATAGATAAAAATTTAGTAGCCATTATCATATAGATGAAAATTAAAAATGTGAGGCAGGATGGGCTCACAAAGGGAGTAAGTTTAGACAGATAAAAAAAGAAGACCCAGAACTGAGCCCCAAATTTAAAAGATCTAGGAGAAGAAGATGAATAAGTAAGTTTGTACATTTAATTAGCATTCTTCAGTAATATGCCAAGAAAATATTTTTTGTGGTTTGAAACCCAAGATAGTATTCCATAATATTTAATGATAATTATATCCCTCTTCTCCAGGTGAAGGACTTTCAGAAAGAACTGTAGAGATCATTCTTTCAGTCACTTTGTGTATTCTTTCAATAATTCTTCTGGGAACAGCTATTTTTGCATTTGCAAGGTAAGATTTATTTGTGCTTACATTCCCAGGAAGCTTTATGTGCACTTTATCAGTCATAGTCCAATCAGGAAACAGAAGCCGTAACAGTTACTTGGATGGGGAACATTTATTTTTATAATTAACAGATAAAATTGTATCTATTTATCATGTACAATATGATGTTTTAAAGAATATATATATTGCAGATTGACTAAATCTAGCCATAAAAAAGAGGGAAATCCTGCCTGCCATCTGAATGAGAAACATTAAATATAAAGAATTGTTAAGTAGTAGAAATGGCTAACTACTAAAGCAGGTAAAAAAGAACTTTAAAGGGTTCTAGAAGTAGAAAGTGCAACAAAGCAGCTATCTCTTCAGTCTGAGGGAGAGAAGACAGTAAAGAAACTAAAAAATGGAAGAAGTTCCCTCTCAAGGCTGACATGGAATGGCTACTAACAAGCACGTATAGTCTGTTACCTATTAGCGTGCAAAGAAATATGACAGAGGGAAGAGGCTGGAGCTGTTCTGTAGAAACTACCCATCATTATTGGATGATAGGCAAGCTGGAATTGGTCATAGAAGCATCCCATTTTGCTGGATGGTGTAGGTGAGCTGGAGCTGCTTGGAATCATTCACCAATGGGATAGGGGAAGCATACACTTCAAAGGCAACAAGAACTCATCAAGGTGGGCTGCTGGGCCCACAATTAAGAATGCAGCACTGGACCCCAGAAGGGCAATGCCTTGCAGGGTCACTGTAGTGCCCTCTGTTGACAAAGCTTATCATTCTGCCAGCTGGCAAAGGGGAACTGTAGAGTCCAGCTCCAGTATTACAAAGCAGGGCAGAGAAGAGTGGATTTGGAGCTGAGAAACAATGACGTGATAACGCAGAAGCAGAAGCTTCCAGGCCATTTACATTTTTTGAATAATTTATAACTCTGATAGGTTTAATTTAAAGTACTTCAATCAGATCTAAATTTTAAAGTTTATACAGAAGAGATAATTTTTACAATAAGGACAACACTTGTAAAATGTCACCCTGCCTTATGTGGTAGACCCCCCTTCTCACACTTACTTTATCAACATGTCTGTGCTGAGTTTTCCAAGTGTCCCTTCCAATTGTTAGTATCAGCTTTCTAATCCGCATGTTGTTTATAGGACCTTAATGGAAATGTTATTTCTGACCTAAATATCTAGTTTCATAAGGTAGATTGCAAATACAGGTTTAAAAGAACCTGTATTTGAAAAATAGCCATTCTACTAATTTCCTACGTAGCTCACTAGACTATTTTTATTTTAACTGAAGAATGTTCTGTATTCTGAATGCCATGCACCATCTGTTTCCTCTTGAATGTCTGAAATCATCATTTTAATAGATTATTTGAAAGTCCCTGGAAAAAGATATTTTCCCTATACCACATACTATTTGTATATTTAGCCAGAAGATGGTGAGAGAAAGTCATTATATTAATACTAGGCACTTCGAAAGATATTCTGTGTAAGATATGGGTCTTGTCCCTAATGGGTATGCATTGGACACATGCATATCATTTCACTGCTCCAAAATCTTCTCTGACTTCTTATTTCCTGACAAGATGAACTTCTTATGTAGGCAGGACATGGTCCCCCTTTTTCCCTAAAACTGCCCCACACACTTCTCTTTAGCCAAAGGAGTCTGTTCTCGCCTGAATATTCCTTAGAATTTTATACAACTCTGCTTGTGTTCAGTCAACCTAAAATGTGCTTCTGCCTCCTCATCCTGGAATATCCGAGTAAAATTCTACTTCTTTATTTCCTCTAAATAATAATAGTTATAATAACTTATATAATATCTTATAACTAAGGCACTATCTTATGAATTGTAATTTGAGTCTTTTTTTATTTTTATGCTTTTTCTACATTTGTTTCCTGTCTTCAACTAAATTGTAACATCTTTGAGGATAGGGAACATGTTTTGTACTTTCTGTATCATCCTCAACACCTGACTCCAAACTAACAAATATTTCAAATGTAAAAGATAGTTAGACTAGCTAAATATCACTTTGTAATATACCATATGGCATCATAGAGAAATAAGGATGAAAAGGGCTTAAAATAAAGACTTTGTTTTGATTCTCAAATTCATGTGACTTTTATTTTTGAACCTGAGTATTTTATTATGAAGATAATATTATATACTTCGTAATATTTTTATAAAAATTCAATGAGATAATTAAAAACAGTTTTATGTATTTCATGCATGTGAAAATATTTCATGCATGTAAAAACAATGGAGCTTTATCTTTTAGCACTAGTATTGATAGCACTGAGCTATTTCCACTTTGGCATATTTCCTTTTTATGACAAATCAATGAGACAGTCAAAGGGAGGAGAAATAAGCTCACAGCATAAGTCTCCTTGGCTCTATATTTTAAATATGCCAATGGCTCAGACCTTAATAAACTAATTCTCATTAAATTTGGAATTTCAACCCAACAACTTGCTAAAAAAAATAATGGAATAGGTTCTACAGAATTAAAACAGGAAAAAGAAGTTGAGTAACTACAAATTTGCAACATGTTCAGAGAAGTGATTTTAACAAAGAAATTATTTGACTAGATGTCTTTCTTTAAAAAGAAAACTAAACCTAATTTCATATGGTTTCTATGATATTCTCTTCTTGGATCTACTGCATTTGTTTTAGAATTCGACAGAAGCAGAAAGAAGGTGGCACATACTCTCCTCGGGATGCAGAAATAATTGACACTAAATTCAAGCTGGATCAGCTCATCACAGTGGCAGACCTGGAACTGAAGGACGAGAGATTAACGCGGTGAGCACACTCCTCTGGGTGAACAGTGGTCCAGAGGGCCTGGAGCCATGACCCTATTCTGACCTATGCTTGTTGGAAGTGTTTGTGGGGCTCCAATTTACACAGGTCACAGAGATCTTCTTTCAAAGGGTGACCTCCGTCTTCTACACACTTCTCACTGGTGTTCGGAGAATCACTTAATCTTCCTAATATTTTGAGTTCAATATGAACCT